TCCATACACTCACATAAATGCATAGCTGTATGCTTGTTTGTTGTAATTGAGATGCGTTCATAAATTTTAATTGCCATTTTATGCTCTAAGCCCAAACGTTTGATGCGGTTGCAAAATTTCATCATTAATTCATTTTCCCGGTATTTTTGCGCTGCTGCTGTTTAGAGATTTTATATTGCGCAGCACAGTGTGAAATTTGTATGAATACAAACATACTTACAAACACATACATTTGTATATATTTTAAGCCTTCTGCAGCTGAGATTTATGAAATTTATATTTTTTGGTATTTACAAGTTAATGGCCTTCCGGCGGCATTGAAAGGATTTCAGAAGGATTTTGTATTTTATTTATTTATGGCAAACAAAGCAATAAAATCATGTAATACCCAAACAAAAAAATATGGCAACATTGTATATTTTTTTGTGGTTTGAAATGAATTGAATTTAAATAATTAATACTTTTGAAGTAATGAAAAAGTTCAAATATATTGAATTTTATGTAAAAACCTGTTCAACTGGCAAGCTTTGTGCCCTCTAACAAAGAAATAATTGAGATCATTCGATTGGACAATTGTTGATATTTTTATTTTTTTTCACATTTTTCAAACATTTGCATATCCAATAACCTTAATTTTTATATGTATAATATATAGTACATACCTAAAAAATAAGAATACGTTTTTTATACAAATCAGAAACAGGAAAGCACGTTACCCAATGATAGGTAAAAACCTTGTCCATTTACACTAACGTGAGTACAATTAAAAAGGTTCTTATGGAGATTTGAGCATAATTTGTAATCAACAAAATGTAATGACTGGTTTTCTGTCAAGGTTTCGAAGCCGTAGTTTTTGTTCCACTTTTCCAAAATAGTTTTTAAATAGTTTATAGTTAAATTTAAATCCGAAGATAAGTTCTTAAGGTACTTAAAATAAAAAATATTAGTTTGCGATTAATATTTTTTACCTACTATCATAATAGTTTCTTGTATACAAAAATGGTGCGGGTAAGAACGAATAACTTGAGATAAATATGAATTATAATATAAAATGGGCAGGCATTAAATTTAAATTTCACAAACTAAACTTATAACTAATACGGCTTCTATTCTACAATACCTTATGAAAATACCTTATGAAAAGCACGAACTTCTAACTGGCATAAGTCGCCATATATTTATTATATACTTTTATAATATTTTGTTCTCAAATAAACTTTAATAATGCACAATTTAAGATGACAAAACGGCAAGATATTCAATATAGAAATTTTCCAAAGTTAAATATTCATTTCTTTGTGGGTTCATGATTTAATCTTTAAGCAGACTGCCTCATATACAACGAAGCAGCTGCTTCATTAACCATAAAATTAAAATAAGCCGAAAGTTACATAACTGAATTTTAAGATTTCCTTTTAAAAATTACTAAGCGTTGCTTTTCTCAAATAATTTCCGTATTTTAATGTTTTTTACTAGCTTTTTCCGAAAATGTTTATGAACCACTTTTGTGGCTATAATGTAAATATCTCGGGAGCGGATCGGTGTGCTGAAGTATAGTTATTGCGTTCAAATCGAAAATTAATCCACTCAATATTTTATTAAATTCATGCCTACTGGTCTCTTGGTAACATACAAATAAGCAAGAATCTCTCCTTATATAATTTTCTTTAGTTGGTAAAGATATCTTCTGTTGCGAGATGAGCATCGCCTAATACTTCTATCTCCTTCAGTGTAATATACTTGTTATTCATCTTTTTTAATCAATTTCAAAAATTAATTTCATATTATATATTGCAAAAAGTCCTTACAACATATACTAAATATATTTTTAAATATTTTTCTAGTACTCAAGATCGCTTATACTTAACATTTAAATAGCTCTAGAACCTATTGACACAAATTAAATGAACTTGAAATGTCAAAGCCTGTTACGCGGCTGCTAATTCAATGAGCACAAGTGTTATTGTTTGGCAATAATTATATAACGTGTTAATCGGATAATCTTCTCTATTAAATTGGGCGATCAACCGTGCTGCTGCGAAACAAAGAAAAAATCGAACAAAATTAATGGTAATCATGTTTGCATATTGGGTCTAGGTCTGGGCTAGCGGTAACGCACGACATTGGAGCCAATTTAATGATTAACTAAATTGATTGATAGCTCATGGGCTTATCATACATTAGAAGTACGGAGCAGACGAATTCGTTTGCTAATGCCTTAGGCTGTATAATGTTGTTGTCTTCGAGGAAACAAAATACAAAAGCAACTAAAGAATCACGAAAGTGACAGGCGAGCGAATGAAGTAGGAAAGTGCTCACATAATAGCTAATAATTTAATTGCATAAGTGTTATTGTTATTTCTCTTTTTCGATATTCCGCATATCGTTTGTATGCGCACGTTGACACAGAGCGGAAATAACGGCACATTTATGTGTAAAGCTAAGACGAATTCAACTTGAACTTAAAGTTTTCTGCTATTTCCTTTCTACGTTTCGTCAGCAATGTATTTTTATTTTCGTGAGTTGGTGTGTGTGTGTGTATGTGCGGGTGTGCGTGCAATGTCACATTTTTGTTGGAGAAAAAGTAATAATGGGCATATTACGAGCAAGAGGCAATTTTTCACAATTTTCTGTTAGAAAATTTACGAGTGTCGATTAGATCTTAACACGTAGCAATGTCTTTTACTTCAAAATCGGTATATTTTGTTGTAATTCAATATGGCTGCTTATGCGATACGATGTCTATGTGTGCATTTGTATGTGTGCCACATTTTATGTGCAACGAGCTGCGCTGCATTTTGTTAGATTGCATTTAAAAAGTTGAGTTAAAAACTTCAAACGCGAAGCATACGAGGGCTGTTTGATATGCCAGCGGCCTTTTAGATTATTTTTCTCGACACAAAATCTTATTACTATAAAAACATATGGTTAGCTTAATATAAAATATTTTCTATATGGAATTGCAATTTTTTTGTACACTAAAAAATGTTAAGTCCGAAATTCATCGATTATTTTAGCGTAAGAATAAATATTTACTTGAAATTATACCAGGCAAACAATTTTTCACAATTTAAAAAACAAAAATTGGAATGTTTTATTCCATCAACCAGTATTCAATATTTTCAACTATCTTCAGTCATTATTTTAACATTTTCGCATTGACCTGGTTGCCATAAAGGCTCAACCTTTGTTGCAGTTGAAGATTGTATAAAGTAAAAGTATAGGTATAACTTTGATCCACATTTTGGTAGCAGAACCACAATCTTTGTTCAGAATACACTCATTACGTAAACGAGTTGAATAAAGATTTCCCATAATTTTGAGCCGAGGTATAAATTATAAACGTTTAAAATATATTATTAAGCACTTTACGTTGATGTCACATTTATTTTGATATTTGCTCAGCTTCTCTTTATGATAGATGGCAAATCAACTGCTACAAAATATGTTGTATAGCAATTGAAGACTCTTTGAATACTTTCCGCTTGATGCCTTAATGCATTATACAATTATTTGTGTTTTTTCAAAAACGTTTAATTTTTCAATAAATACTAAGGTTTACATATCACGATAGGTGGTAACTCTTTTTCGGCAAATGATCAATGATGTGTTGAAGCAGCAGATGGTAACTATAATATATTCCTAAATTGAAGAATTTCGGTGGCTCATATTTTCAGCAGTTTTCAGTTGCAATTGTGTTTTCAGTAGGTGGCAACACTATTCTAAAATAGGCATTTTCGTAAAATTCTTCTTTCGATACATATATTGTACTTTATTTATTTTTACTCTATTCAAACTTAAGGCTATAGTTGACATTGGCGCCACCTCGCGAATTTTTTTGCGGATACAGTTCCTTTCCACCTACTAAAATTTAATTTAAATATTGGCCGATTCGTACCACAAATAATATTTTTTGTAGTAATTTGATTTTAGCGCCATCTAGCGAGTTTGAACTTCACAGGAACCCTAAAAAGTTTGTCTTGGAATTTTAAAGAAGTTGTTCATACATGTATATATGTAAATCGATTTTCGACACATGGTTGCAGGTGTTGAGGTCCACAAACCCAGATATTATTCATTCTCCTTTAGTTCAATATTATTCAAGATATTCCTTGGAAGTGACCCAGGCAGTAAAATTCAGCTTATACATATATTTACAACCTTAAAATAAGTGCCTTGACCTGCGGCATATTTTTGTTAAATGGGGTCATGAGAAGTCACTAGTTAATCCATAAGCCCTCGTATTACTGCTTGCCAACCAACGTGGATCATTCCAAAATCGCAGTGAAGAAGAAAGGGTAAATGCATGAAAATAAGTGTGCATGTATGCATGTGTGTGTGTGTGTGTGGAAAACGTCACTGAAGTAGAAAATTACAAAATTAATGTACAATGACTTAAACAATTACTCTCATGCCATATGTGTCGACTTTAAGTGCAAGCGAATACTCCAAACACTTCAGTCGCACACATTTACCGCTAACACACACATACACATGTGTGTATGTTTGTAAAAAGGCGCGCACACACAGACCTCTCCTCAAGCATATGCAAGAGAAATAAAGGTGGTGAAAAAAGATTATTATAAATGCCTCTGCTGTGCTGTGCAACTTTGCAATTAGTACACCTCAGCGCGCATATTTTTTGTAATAACACAAAATGAACAAAACAAAATTAAAAATAAATAACGCAAAGTTTTCATTTTGTGGTTTTACGCTGAAAACTTTGTGCCGAACTTTTTTGCTATTGTAAGTAATTACCACAAACTCGATACGGCATCATACTTGCTGGCGTTCGCAGTCAACAATAACAAAACACACGCACATAAAAACGATAATTAAAGTGATATAAAAAATGTGTGCTGTTTTTGCTTGTTTGTAGAAGTATTTCGACCCCCTTGCCTACCTTTGCACCGCCAAAAGCATTTTATATGTATGTCGCTAATAATTAAATTTTCGCTAATTTATTTTGTTTTTTCATGTTCCCCCTCGTTTCATTGCAGGACACACACAAAAGCTCTCCCCCTATATACGCCACTGGGAGGCGGCGGATTTCGATCGTTCAAATTTGCACTCGGCACATCAGGAACACATCGAACAGAAACGTCATCGTCGAAAAAGAGCACTGAATTCGGTCGAATTCGGGCCGGTGCACACAATCAGACTGAATTTCTTTGCTCATGACAGGTAAGTGAAGTACTGGCTTTGAATGTAAAGAGCGCATTGTCTCGCAGAGATATTACACTATCTAGCACTCACTTATGTGCGTAGCAACAAACATAGTTATTTTTGAATACACGAAAATTATTTCAATATTGGTAATATGCTTAAAGCGTTTTTACGAAGCCAATAACATTGTTGAACATTTTTGAATTTGTTGAACAAGTATTAAATTTCGAAAGCCTACACATGATCCAGAGAGTATGAATCGATTTTTTCTCTTTGATCAAGAAATTTCGGCTCGTTCCTTGAAACTCCCATAGAGGTCAGCGAGTTAAGAGCTAACCGGGGCTCAATGTTGACATTGAAATTCCCTTACAAAATCATTTTAATATTTTTTATCATATCGAAGATATCAGTTATCATTCCAAAATTATTTTCGGTTTCTGACAAAATTTTGTTTATCGAACCCGATTAAAGGGACCCAGTAAAATAGGAGCAGATCAGTTGTTCACTACCTAATATATTGAGCCATTTAATAATAACTGCGTCTGTCCTTCTGTGGCTCCGAAATGGGGCTATGACCCCAAATGGTGTACTAGCTATACACAAATACATATTATCCGACGTCTGCTAACATTCAGTGGTATAGCTGAATGTTTTAATGAAGAAGCGCTGAAGAAAATTGTGCTATGAGACATACTACACCAAAGCCCTAGAAGTCATTCTGAATAGCCACCCATCAAGACTCAGCACTTATTTGTCACTGGACCACAGAATTAGGGCTAGATTGACAAAGCAAACAAGAAACAAATTCTCTAGGGGTATAAAACACCACATTTATCCCTGAGATTTTTAGAAAAATGCTTCAGCCGGTTGAGATGAGATTTCTTAACTTTGGCATTTTATCAAATCTAGCGAGGAATGGAGTTTACATAGTTAGGTTCCGCTGGAGAAAAATTATCCTTGTTATTTTGTAAGTGAGGTCGCTGCGATTTAGCTTTAGCTTCAATTATTTAGAAATTAACATTTTCTCGTTTTGACTATCGAAATTCCTTCCCGTATGAAAGGAAAAAACTGGTTATATGAAAAGCAGGTCAAGTAAAGACCTAAAGTTCAATGAGAACATTAAATTTATATCTTATTTAAATGTATATATTTTTATAGTAAGGTTTCTTCAAAGGCTCCCAACTAAGTCCGTAAAATAAGAGTAATTGTGAAATGCAACTCTGCTAGACGATTAGCTGAACTACTCCACATTGCACAGATGTGCTGGATGCCTTGTTAAATCAGAGAACACAACACGTTTTGAGAGTTTTAGCTTTATCCAAAATGCTAATGGAGTTCGTGACAGAAATTAGCTAATAGAAAGAACTATGTATGTTCACAGCAAATTTCTAAGCTGTCTTATTATTTCAATGCTGGATATTTTATTATTTAGATAATATTTTATGGGGTATTAACAAGTATATACTATGGATATATATATATATTTCATTTAAATTTAATGATATATTTTCTAAACTGACAGGATTTTCCTTCCCTTACGTTTTCAGAGAATTTCGCATGGTTCTCCAACAGAATCCTTTGTCGGTGTTTGCGGGTGATGTTGAAATCGAAAGCACGCATGGACCGGTGGATTATGACATTTCGAGAATATACACCGGCACACTAGAGGGTAAGCAATGGAAAATATTTTAAAAAGTATGTACCACATAAGCAACATAGTTTTTGACACCAAAATATACTTAATACACAAATGCTGGAAATTGTAAAGTTCGCAGAAAAGTAAGAGCTGACAAACTTTTATTCAAATCCATAGTTACTTATGCATGTAATATGTATACATATTGTACATTCCAATATATGTGTGTGTGTGCATTCAAATTGGAGCGCGTCCCTAAATGGAACACTGGCAATAACCATAAAACACATGGGAATCAATGATGTTGTCATGTCAATAATGAAGAAACAAACAAAACGACACGGAAGCCATAAAAACCAGAACGAAATTGTGAAAGAGAGTGTAAGAGGGAACGAGAGAGAGAGAGAGAGCGAGGGCGAGAGTGAGACTAGAATGGAAAGAAAGAAAGCGCACGAGCGTTGTGCAAAGTTTTCACATTTTCCGAAAATGACCATTTCCGGTGCTGATGCTGACACTGTTGCTGCATAAGCGTTCCATCCATTTGGTCGTTCATCATCTAACAGCTTGGATGGCGCTGATGACTGTGCAAATATTTGAGCTCGCATTCTCAAATGTATACTCGACTCATATGAGCACATTTGCACAGCATCAACTGGACTCATATACGCTGACATGCATGCATATACATATATATGTACATATGTGTGAGTATACCTATATTTGTGTACATGTATGCATTTGCATGTATTTATTTGCAAGCGCATGTAGTTTTCTATAAATATATATGTTGCCTGTGCGTGTGTGTGTGCGTGTACAATGCATTTCACCTTAGATTGAATGAAAGATGTCAAGGACGTAATATTTGCATTGACTATCGGCAGCACAGTGGTGGTGACGGTGAAGGTGGCGGTAGAGTTGCCGTTAATGGCGGTTGTACTATGTGGGGAGTGGAAGGTGTGTGTGGAAATCGTTATGGATTGCTAGGAAGAGGATGCTGCTATGATTGCTACAATCGCCACTCTGCTCTGCACGTTCACTTCTTTGAGACCACTGTAACTCATAAATACACCAGGCGGTGTGTTGAAGTAAAATACTCGTGTAGCATTGGCAACTGTCCATTGCCGTAAACAATAACCACTTTGTGTTGCCAATGGCAATGTCGACTGCAAGCGCTGCTATAAATCTTACCTTCAACTCTCTCAAGGATTATATGGAAAAATAAACAAATGATAGTTGAAAGAAATAAATTTGAAATCTAAAAGGTTTTTATTGCATATTTGTGCACATGCACACTGCAGCATTCACTTCTCAGTGTGTGTTTGTGTACTTATTTATGCGTATGTGTGTGTGTGTAGTCGATGATATACTTATCGACAGGAGATTAAAATCAATAACGTTTTGTGCCCGGAAACTGTGAGCATTACAATTTAAATTTACTTTCCTTCATTTTTCTTTTATACCCAGCGCTTATAAGCTGCACTGAATTTTTTATTGAGTTTCGTTTATTCGCATAGGCATTCCTCTTTATGGTATATGTATGGTATAAAATATCTATTCGAATACCTTTTACATTTTACAATTTAATTTAAATGAAATATGCCAAAAGTGACAGCCTTTCTCACGGCTCTGTAAATTCTAAAATAAAATACATATGTATATGTTGGTATATGTATACCTAGTTCTTTTGTGCCTCGAAAAATGTAAATTAAATATGAAAAAAAATTACGATTTTATTCATTAGTATTTTAAATTTAGAGAAATATGATTTGAACAGTTGTCGATTTAATTCACATACGGTATCAATATGGGTATCCGAAATATAATACAATAAGAACGCTACGTAGATTTGAGCAATACTGAGTACTTAAAATTTTAAATGAAAACTAGTAATTTTTATCAAATGCTGTCTGAGTGTGTGCTTTACGTTATACAAAAATTCCACCTATGAATTTCAATATATCCATTTATTTTTTGCCAGATATCGATTTGAAAATGATTAATTGCAATAAATTGGAAGTTGATTCGGCTAACTATTTGCTATAAAACTATTTGTTAGAATTTTTTTAGCTTAGTGTGATTGGTTTTCAAAACTTTAAACACGTTTTTCTCGAAACGCTGTTTTCAGTGTCGGAGAGGAAAATTTATCAGTAACGGTTGAACCGATTGACTTTAAAATTTCACGCGATCGTTTTAGATATATTTGTCAGTTAACGATCAAATACACAAATTTTGATAATAATTTCGATTTTTTTAAACTCACTCTGAAGTAATACTTTTTTCACAACCAAATTTTTTTGCCAAACATCAAAAATTTGACTTATTCTTGTTATAATAAATACAAAATCTTACAAAATGAATTACCGATTATTAAAGTACATCAAATTCTGTGAATGTACAACATCTTATTATTATTTTTAAATGAAATGGCTCTTCCAAAAAAAAAAAAATGCACCAAAAAATATGTTAGACCGTACGGAGTACTTCAATGAATACTTGAAAAAACTAACTACCACTGAATACTTCAAACAGCGCTAACACTTATGCTGAGGAGCCTTGGGAGCACTTTAAACAGGATTAACCAGTACTGAGTTATATATTTAGTGATTACTTTAAATGATAATTTATTATACTCAGCTGTTACCGAGCCCCTTAAATTCTGGTGTTTAAAAAAAATTAGTGCAAAATTAGTGCAAACATTTTATAACTAATTCATATCTATTTTGAGTACTATGTCTGCAGTGCTTTAAATTAATAGTTAATAATGTAAACCATAATGGCAATTAGTCCAACATTGGTTATGAGTACTTTTAATAAAAACTGAGTATACTTATAATAAAGATATACTTTAAAACTGCATTGAATATTCGGAATTAGTATTTTCTGTTATCACCAGCACTAATTTGTTATTGAGTATCTTAAGCATATATTGAGTATTTTTTATTAATTACAAGGTATTTAAATGAATACTGCATATTTATGGCAGAATACTGTACCGGATCGTATTAGAGAATAGTGCATAAGATTGGGTACTATTAGCTAGTAACAATTTAGTTTAATACTTCAAATCGATACACACTTTAATTTATATAATACATTTTTGTAAAAGTGCTATATAATTAAATATTATTATCTATGAAAAAACAAATTATTCAAAGTCAGACACAGTCTCAAAAAACATCAAACAAAAATTAACAAAAAAGTCAATGGAAAAAATTAAATATCACACATTATTTAAAAAAAAAAAATCAGAAATATAAATTAAGAACATAAAAATAAAATTAAAGGTATGGCAACTCTTGAAACTCTTATCAAATCTGCTGGGTGCACAAAGTTATATTTACATACGTACATGGTATATCGGAAGCTAAAACTCCTCCCTTTGTTGTAGTTATTTTATAACATTTCCGATATGTTATCCATAGTCAGTTTGAAGCAGGAAGTGATTGGTTTGCAAGTATTTACATTTCAATCTGAGTGCAGTTTGTAAGTTAAAAAAATTTACAAAACTGTCTGTACTAAGCGAGTATATGCATAAGTGGCTAGCTGTTGCAGTTGCTATGTAGACTGCCAAAACGAAAGGAACTAGTAAATATATATTTATTGCTTTTTAATAAAAGTGAAATAAAGTAAATACTCTACGTGAGCAATCTCAACGAAATTCGTTTGTGCGCGTATGCGTGTGTGCAAACAATGTGAAGAACTTAATCAATTGATTTTACTCGGAATCCAACGAAAAAGTAAGAAAAAAATCCAAAAACAAAGATAAAGTAAATTAAATATATTTTATGACGCAAAAATGATTTAAATCGTGTTTAGTATTCTTAATTGAAAAACAATAGCCCTGAGTTATTTATACAAGAGCAATAATAATTAAAATTGTAGACCAATAAATATAAATTGTTGTCAATTATCGAACGAGCAGATAACCAAAAAAGATGGATGATGTACAGTTGAAAAAGTGTGTATATGTGTGCTTGCAGAGATTCGCCAAAAGGCCAATTTATTCAGAAAGTATTCAATATATTATTAAATTTATTCCTTAAACCAAAAACAGCTTTTGTATTTAACTAGCTATGAAAGCACATTTTGTGCTTAATATAAAGAGCAGAATAAAATCAGATTAATTTTTGATATACAAATTTAGTTAGAATCTCCTTATTACAATGAAAATAATTAAATTTGTAGAATGATGTTGGGGTACAATGATCGTAATTTTACATTAATGAAAGTCTAGAAGAATAATTTTTAAAATTTGGATCAATTGAATCGGATGGGAAGGTCTAGGGGGTGATATCCTTTTAATCTTCTACGCTGTTGACTTTTGTAAGTACCTTTTCATGGATCTCCATTTGACAGAGGTCGCGACTACTAAATTATTCAAAAGTTTCCGTTAAAGTGGGTCTCGATGAAGAACGTCATTTCTTACTTAGCAAGGTGCTCCCACTATGTTGGAAGAACTTTATTTTGAATAATTTAAAACTTAATTCGGCTATGCCAGATTTGGATTCCATAAAAATTAGTTACCATTTTCCTTAGTGTAAGCAATGGCCAAATAGAGGAAAGCAATTTTATCGGGAAAATAACAACAACAAATAGGGCATGTTCGAGTCTCAATCACGGCGGTATAGCTCATTATATTCGACGCAAAAATGTTACAGTATAAGTATCAGCTGAGTATCTGCAGAAAAGCAACAGGTTCTCAATATTGGTGAAGTTATTTGTTGGCTCGAACATTTTCATACTTTCCTTGTGTCACATAATTATTAGTTGACACAAAAAATTGTATTACACAAGTGTAAGCTTGATTTCTACAAGGAGCAGAATCAGTTCGAATTTTTTACAATTTATTCCCATGAACTGGTATTTTTTTCGATAGTTACTGAATACCCTCACAGTAATTTAAAAACAAAATAATTCCTGAATTAGCAAGGATCAGTCATATATTTTTATTTGTTTACAAATTTCAATACTCAAAGTTCGCCATCGAATCAACGTGATGCCTTCGAAGTTCTAAATTATCGTTTCTTCAACTT